GCCCATCAACAGATAACTGAATTTTTAAATGTACTCTATACATACAATGGAATATCATTCGGTCATGAAAACAGAATGAAATTATTTACAGGGATGGTGAAGTTCTAAGCCTCCTGGAACCTAAAATGAGGATTATAGACTGTCTGTGAATGCCAAGATGCTGCATACAGCAAAGATGAATATTGAAGACATTGTGCTAAGTGAAATAAACCAGACACAGAAGGACAAACACAGTATAATCCCGGTATGTAAGACATTTAGACTAGACAATTTCATAAAGACAAAGTAAATTAGAGGTTAACTGAGGCTGGAAGAAGGGGAAATGTGTTGTTATTGCTTAATGGTTACAGAATATCTGTCTGGGGTGATGAAAAATGCTTTAGAAATAGATAGTGGTGGTGGTTACACAATATTGTGATTAATAATGCCACCAAATTGTCAAGCTTGAAAATGGTTAAAATCAAAAATCATTATATGTATTTGACCACAACTTAAAAAAAAAAAGCAATATATCAAAACCCACTGAATTTTATACACTTCAAATATGAGAAATAAATGTTTATGAATTATGTCTCAATAAAGCTATTAAAAATTAAAATACAAAAGCCCTAGCAGCCACAAGTAATAAATAGCCATTCCTTCCTTTCTATTACTACAAGTAGATTTTTATACTCAGTATGCTCAACACAAAAGTCTCTGGACACTGTCTCTAGATTCCAACTTGTATGAATGATGATGTGTTCCTATGCCTATCATTCATTCTTTAGGTTTAAGAGAACTGTGCATATGAACATCAATTTTCTTTGGGTCCTGGATCTTGAAAGAAACTAGAAGGACTCTCAGATCATCAGATCCAAAAATAAGTATTCTAATGACTTTCATTCAAAGAGATATGTATAAAACATTCTCTACATACTCTCTAAAACAAGGAAAGCGGTGATAATGCAGGCATCAGTGACACCTTAAAAAGCTGTTTACGGCCCTCCCTGGTGGCGCAGCGGGTTAAAGCACTGCACAAAGAAGCTTAAGCCACTTCCGCATGAGTTCGATTCCCACCTGCCCCTGGAGGAGACCACATGGCGTGGCAGACCTCTCCTGACCCGCCCGCTGCTCCCCTCAGCAGTGTACTTCGTCGATCTGCCTGTTCTGCACCCCACTCTGTCTCTGGTGAATCCTCTCACCCTCCGCATCTCTGGCCTGTACCCCAGTTCTGTATGAATAAATAAATAAATCTTAAAAAAAAAAAAAAAAAGCTGTTTGCAAACACCTCAAGAGGCTTCAATTTCTTGCCACAGAAACACAAGTCATAACATTCAGGAAACAGAGTGTGATAAAGCAGCATAACAGAATTTCATCCTACCCTTATCTTTTCCTCTGAGAGGCTAGCAGCCTAAGGGTCCCCAATCTGATACATTCTGCTTTCAGGTATTTAGCAAGGTCTCCAACTGCATTTTCTCTAAACCTGGGGAACAACCAAAGCCAATGAGCAAAAAAGCTAAGTAAACATACAGACTTCTGATGCCCTGGAGGGCTTGCTGCTGACCTCTTGAGACACCTATTCTGAGTTCTTTTTTTTTTTTTTTTAAACACTACACTCACCATACGCGTTTTTTTTTTTTTTTTAAAGATTTATTTATTTGTGCATACAGAACTGGGGTACAGGCCAGAGACTCAGGGGCGGTGAGAGGCTTCACCAGAGACAGAGTGGGGAACAGAACAGGCAGATCGACGAAGCACACTGCTGAGGGGAGCAGCGGGCGGGTCAGGAGAGGTCTGCCACACCATGTGGTCACCTCCGGGGCAGGCGGGGATTGAACTCATGCGGAAGCGGCTTTAGATTCTCAGTGCTGTGCTTTAACCCGCTGCGCCACCAGGGAGGGCCTATTCTGAGTTCTTTTGAGAAACGTAACTGTGCTCCCCCAGCAAATTAGTAACCTGCCTAATACAGGCATAATGGAATTTCTAAATGCATATACATCCATGCCTGTACAGAGCAGTTTTCCACCTAAAATGCAATCAGATGTTATAAGATGAAAAGAGTTCTGAAGATGATGTTGTGATACTGTGACATCAGAAATATATTATTTTGTTAGTCAGAGATATCCAAAATATTCATCCACAGTCCCAGGCTCAGTTTGCCATGAATTTCCTAGGTGTGGTGATACTCTGCTGGTATCCAAGAACTATTGTCAGTGTGGTGAGGCCTACACAAACACTCAATTGGTAAAATAGGTCTCAGTACACACCAAAAGTCACAGGTGACTATAATGGAGGAAAATGCAATTGGAGACCTTGCTAAATGTACCTCAGACCATAAAACTATACACTTAAAAATGATTTGAGATGGCAGATCTTATGTTATATATTTTTTAATCATATTTTTTAAAGTATTCAGTTCTGTACTTCAGCAAGCAAATTATACAGTTTGCAGAATATATTCATGCCTTTTGTTTCGTTTTATCTTTATTCCTTTGGTAGCCTGATTTGGGGCCAACTGAGAAGCATGGAAACCTGAGCAGATAGTAAGCAAAAGAAAAAAGAAGTTATATTTCTTTTTTTGACACATTCTCTATTTCAAAAAACAATGTGAAGTTAAAAAGAGCAAATAAAATATTAAGATTCAACAAAAAAATCTAAATGATCATTTATTCTCTTTAATTGTTATGGGGATTTTGTTTATTTCTAACATAAGGCAAAAAATTTTTGTGACAGGGATGATCCTACTAGAGAAAATATCAGAATTCATGCATCTAATGTACAAATGGACAATTCAGAATTGGCTATGAACACTTTAGAAGAAAGTAAAAACCACTAGGAACATATGAAACAGTTTCTAAAACTGCTAAATACATTTCCACTAAAGTTTTAAAACTGCTACCTCATATATTAAGCACATATCATGCAAAACAAGTTTTGAATTTTAATGGCAGAACTTGTTCCTAACCTTTCTGACCAATTATCAAAATTGGCATATTGATATTCAGAGGCCTAGAAAGAAATGAAAACTAGAAATGTAAGCCTTTTAACTTTTATTATTCTATAACTTCTAGAATAATAAGTGGATTAAATTCAATTCTCTCCTAGAAAAACAATAATGAACAAGGAGAAAAACAAGTTATAAGTACAAAAAACTGGTCATCCAGAATAGGATCTTCTGTGTATTTTGATTCATGGTTCCCAAGCTCAACTGGTCATCAAAATCCCGTTGGAGGGGAAAGAGAGCAGGTCCACATATTTAAATACAGATTTCTAGCGCAATCCCCACAGATCAAACTTAGAAAACAGCAAAAGAGGCCTGGGAATCTGCACAGTGAAACAACTTGATAATTAACCATGTTCTGATGCCATGTTTTAGAACATTCATATATTAACAAACTTCTTTTTACCACAGGAGGCTATTTTGCCTCTAATCTCATTTTCTATTTCAACTTACCAATAAACAACAAATAGCCTCCTGCAAGCCTAATACTCTGCTAAAGGTTTATATTCATTATTTCCTTTAAACACCAGGAAATCAAACCTTTTAATGGGGAACGTAAAAAAGATTAAGAAACAGGATAGCATATGAATAAATAAATACTCCGACTCTGGAGCCTGAAGTCATGTATTTGAATCCAAGCTCTACTTTTTCCTAGTTATGTGACCTTACGGAAAGTACATTGCTGGGCAATCATAGTTTCTTCAGCTATAAAATGGAGATAGTAATAAAATCATTCACAAAATTTTGTGATGATTTAACAAATTAGTATATTTAAAATACTCACAATGAGATTTGCCACATAGTAAGCAATCAAGTGTTGGATTGTTAAAATGTTACCCAATTTTGTAAATGAAGCATCATATACTAAAAACAGAACTTAAATACAAAGTAGCAATGTAAAAAGAGCCTACATAAAATCCTCCAATTTTGGAAGAAACATTTTAAGTAGCTTCAAATTTCCAACCAAAATCATGTGGCTTCCAAAATGCTTCTTTTTGTACAAATATTTAAGGTTGCTGTAAAGTAATATTTACTATTTCACACCTACATATCTCTTACCCTTTATCTAAAAGTATATCCCCGATTTTTATGTAATACTTTGGAGCAATATCATAATTTTATCATCAGTTTTTAGATAACTTTTCTCTGTTTCAAATATCCTGACTTCCATTCAAAAGCTAACTGAGCAGTTTACATAAGGAAAAACATAACAAGGAACTGAATCAAAAATAAATACTGTAATATGTCAAAAGGAAACAGCATTAATCCTAGATGAGTAGTTTACTAAGAATAACAAAGAGGAAGTGGTGAGGGAATCACTCTCATCAAAAGAATATAATTTAATAATGCTCTAAGCAATTCTTGTACCAGATGAATTTATAGTCAGCTACATATAGAATCTAAAACAAAACTGGCACCTCACTAAAAAAAAAAAAAAAAATCACAGCTGGGAGTTATCTTAAATTTCCAATATGCAACAGGAAATGTTGCCAGTAATTCAACATGTTCTCAGCTTCCTTTTTTGCTTTCTACTGAGTAGTCAACAAACCAAAACAAAATGCTCCAGAAGCTCTGTTACTAGTAAATAAGTTAAACATAAAAATTCCACTGCAATATCTAAAAAAAAAATAGCTCAGACACTAAATAAGAATGGTTTCTGTCAATATGTGTATAGTGCCTCCTGGAATACATTACTGTAGAGCCCAATGAACATGTCTGTAGCACGGTTATCATAGCGCCAACATTCTAATGAGGTTACATTTCAATACACATCAATACATTTCAATATATTAGGACAAGTACCTAGAACTCAAATCTACAAAATAAAATGAAATCCACAAAAATAAAATGAAAAACCAATTTTAGATAAGTTGAATAGATAGCCATGTACAGTATATTCATTCTAATACCGTATTTTAAAGATATATTCCTAATAGGCATTCTGAAACTAGATGAATGAATCATATCTATCTCTCTCAAGCCATCCCCCTCCATGCTGACAGAGGGTTTCCAGACACACCTCTCTGGCAATGTTACTCAAAGCTTCATCTTCTGCAGAAAATCGATCTTTCATAGGTGTCCTTTTCCTTCCAGAACCAGGAGTCCCCATGTTGTCTTCTTAGCAATTCCTTAACTGTGAAAAGCTGTTTCACTCTGTTTTCAGTCCTGAAATAAACAGAAAGAGAATAACTTAGGATACTTCTCACTGTATACTTATGCTCCTTTATTTGTTCACTTTTAACAAAGTAAAATATTTATACACTTATATATAAATTAATCATCAAATAATTTTCCTATCAAATAATTTTCCTATCAAATTATCCCAATAAATTTTAGAATATTTGCCATAAAGTTACAAAGTTAACTTGGCTTTTTAGTGTAATTTAAGAAGCAATTACAATTAAACCATTACCATAGAAAAGAACAAATGAAAGCTTATTATTCTGCAATGAACATTAATCAACACTGGCCAAGCAGCAAGTATCTGAATGCCTGCTATTGAATGGTGCCAAAGATACAGTGACAAAGGCCAACAACTTAGAATATAATATGAGTCTATTACTGTTTTTATTATGAAATAAAGCTACTTTTACAAATAAGAGGAATTCTTCCAGAATTACATAACAAGGATGACAAAGACCACGTACCCTTCTAACAAAATCTCATGAAAGCATGCATCCCAATTTACGTGAACTACTTCTCCTTATACACATTCCTGAAAATTACTGTACACTGAATAAATGCCCATTGACAAGAACCTTCTCCCTAACTCTAACAAAATTTCATCATACTATGGAGTCACAAAGGAATTCTCAAGAAAATCTATCCAAATAGCATCAGCTACATTAAGACTACCTATGACTTTAATGTATTGGAATTTACATGACTCTGGCAGAAGGAAAGTCACCTCATCAATTCACTCTTCTCAAAAAATTTTCTCCAATGAAAATCCGGGACATTCCCATTATCTAACACCATTTCTTATCCCTACAGAGTTAGCTTCTAACATTTCTCAAATTAAAGAGGATAGTTTATTACTCTGCCACAGATAATATATCTGGACACGATAAGAAAATGACTAATTTAAATGACAACAAGTAAAAGATGTATGAAAGCAGCAGCTGATCAATTCCAGTCATAGACTGACAATTTCCAAAAAGCACTATTTTCTCAGACATCTCCCTTCATTGTCATCTTTAGTATAACTTTAAAGATTACTCATTTAACAGTAATGGTGTATAAACAGTAATCACCTACTGAAAAAAAGAATATAAAATTATTTTAAGACTAGAGTGACAATTTAGCTAACACTGTGGTTATCAGATAGTTGCCCTTCAACCAGATTTCCAAGGACACAATGGAAAACATTTCCCAGAAACAGAAGATAAAAACAGACATTTTCTAATTCCAGGCACATAAAAATAATTTTAAAATGAAAAAGAGGATTGGCTTTGGACGCATATCAAAAGTTTAACAGTGATTTTTTTTTTTAAGGAAGGTAGGATTATGGATGCATTTTTTTTCTGCATTTCTGAAATTTTAGAAGTATTGGAAAGAGAGATGCACTTTAAAACAACATTTAGACCCAATGCTTAAGGAATAACTGGTTCAAACTTGAATCACACCAAAGGCCTTGAAAGAAAAATGACAGCAAACGGGGCAGAGGCAAGGATAAAGGTAGGAAATATGAACAACTTTCTGTCCTTGACCTCCTTGTCCTATCTAAAAAAGGTACCCTATGGGGTTTATGTGACTGGCAAGCCAGGTTCGGTAATTTTTTTTTAGCTGCACGAGGTAAAGCAACTACTACGTATTTCAAAAAAACAATGTAGGGCTTTGAATTACACTCTTTGTATTATGTAGGCAGATTTCTTTACTAATAAAATTAGATAAAATAAAGATTTTCAGCTTCAATGCAATCAATATTTCCCAGAACATTTTAGATCAGTGGTAAGAGGGAAACCTGAAAAGAAACAAAATCCTAACACAGTCACTGAAAAACTGTTTTGAAAGAAAATGCCAAAAATAAGGATGTAAATTCAGTAATGGCCTCCAAAAGATTGTTTCTGATCTGAATGGTCTTTAAGTTTCCAGCCCCAGAGGTTTACCGCAGTGTACTGTTCTTTAGGGGTCATGCGAATCTCCCCCGCACTCACTGCTAGAGTAGTAGGAACTTCCAGCGAAACCTGCACATCCATTGCCTACAGAATGCTGCCTACATTATTATCAAGTCCTTTACCCTGACATGTCAGACTGATTTTCTCCAGATGGTGTCGGGTCAAGATGGTTCTGTCATTAGGTATTTGTCTATCTAAAGGAAAGGGAAGTATTTTCAGGATGTTGTAGAATATAAGCCTTCCAAATAGACAAATCAATAAGGCTTTCTCTTCTCCAGTGACCTTCTCATATAATATATTTCTGAAAAATAGGCATTATGCCATATTAAGTGCCACTTCATCATGATATTGTTCACTTTTGTGAGAACAGAATGTATATGTAATGCCACTATGTCACATTCTAAATATAGTACACTTAGTAGTTCTGTCTGGATCCTGACCATTACAGTTCCCCTTTATCTACATATTCATCATGGAATGTTCAAAATACTGGTAGCTACAGATTTGTCATTACAATTAACACCAGAATGCACAATAAAACATTTTGTAGTTATTCATAAGCAAATCCCAGGATCTGGAATGGCAACCAATTAAAGATAAAGACTTACAGTGACTGCAGTTGTTACCACTGGATAAAGTTTAAAATTGGAGGACCTGAGTTCAACTGCTTATAATACCAATTGCTGTGCTGCCTTTCTCACTGCCTAAACCCTGGTTTCTGTATCTATAAAGGAGAAATAACCACGGTCCCAGCTACCTAACAGTGCGAGGTTCAGAGGAGCTAAGATAAATGTAAGCATTTAATGAAGTATAATGCACTTCATAAATGTTTAAAAGAACTTGAATTAACTACTGCTTTGCATCCTTGCCTGTGAAACTGACAAAAGGCAATTCTTGCCTTTATTTACAATTTTATATTAAAAAAAACCCTCAAGTTATCTCTCCCAGCATTAATTATATAGTATTACTAGCCAGGCTAACAATGCAAGGATTTTTGTTGAAGCATGGAACAATCTGGGAAAACAAGTCTTAACTACAATCATACTATATAACACATTTGCATAATAAAAACAAAAAAAGAACATTTTAAGGTACTTTGTGGAATTCAAAGTCTATTTTTGAAAATCCAAATGAATACACAAGTTTTACAAGTTTTCCCAAGTAGTTCCACTACTATAGCACCACTGATTTAGAAGGAAACCAGAAGATATAGGTCATGAAATGGTGCAGTAAGATCTATGCATATCTAAGTAAATTTAACCTCAAAAGACTTCTAAGCACATATCTGAACTCTAGTCAATGATTTGATGCTAAAATATTTAATAATACCTGCTACTTATTTTGAAATGCATTCTCCACATACAAAAGACAAATTAAACAGAAGATAGAGGAAAGGATAAAGGGACAGATGATAAAGTATAGTAAAACACTAATAGTGAGATCCAGGTGGTAGGTATATGAATTCCGCTCAAGGAATTCTCAATTTTTCTGCATTTTGAAAATTTTAATGGAAGTTTTTTTTTAAACATGTTGGGGGGGAAGTAATCAATTGAGAAAAATGACTATATCCATAAAGACATAAGAACAGATCCCTCTCTGGGTGCAGAATATGAAGCAATCCACAGCTACTGCAGCACGAGTTCAATCTCCAGCTAGGGAGGTGATCCATATTGCACAGCAGACTGCTCCTGTCATGCCTGCTGCTCCCCTCAGCAGTATATTTCAATCAATCTGCCAGTTTTGCTCCCCACTCTGTCTCTGGTGAATCCTCTCACTCCCCCACCCTTGCACCTCTGGACCTCTGGACCCTTGCACCCATTTCTTGTATGCATAAATAAATAAATCTTAAAAAAAAAGACATAGGAACAGAGAATTTCAATTAAAAAATACTGATTTGAAATAGAAAAGGCAAGGATTAATCATAGTACAAAAGAATACCAATTGTTATGTATAAATTAGAAAGATTATGAACAAAGAATAGAATGATACAAATTCTTGGACTAGAAAAGAAAAATTGAAGAGAGATAGGAGTAGGGGAGGGCAAAATCAAAGAGGGACAGGGGTTGAGAAAGGATGATAGCAAAGTATGTTGGAAGGAAGGACGGGAGAAAGGAAGGAAAGAAGGGAGGTTTAAGAAATAAATGAATTATAGATAAGGCTATCAATCCTACAAATGATGAGACCATTATATATAAACTAATCATTAACTGAGCCTACAAGAATAAAAGGTACATCTAAAAGCTGAGGCAAAGGATAAAATGAAAAGATACACGAGACAAATATGTACATGATGTAAAACTGAAGGATTTGCCAGGACAAGGAAAGGTAAATGTTAAACACAAATCTCTGGAAACAGACTACCCACAACATAGTGGAATAGAGAAGTTGGAATCACCTTCTTTCCTAGAAAACTATATACAAAAAAATAATACTTGCTAAAAGGAAGACTCATTAATCTTCCCAATAAGAAACCAAGGACTTTTCTGACACGGAAACAGCCCAAATGCCCAAAAGTAGATGACTGGATTAAAAAGATGTGGTACATATACACAATGGAATATTACTCAGCAACCAAAAAAAAAAAAAACACATGCCTTTTGCAGCAACATGATGGAGCTTAGTGAGATAAGCCAGAAAGAAAAGGAAAAATACCAAATGGTTTCACTCATAGCAGGAGTATAACGGACCAGGTGAGAAAATAATAATAACAACGAACAGCTATATGCCAGAGACATTTTATGGGGGTGGAGTGGGGAATGGGATCAAAAACAGTGGGGGGAGGAAAATGCACTGGACTATGGTGATGGCACATGGGTGATCTGGTGATGGGAAGCCCACGGGGAGTACAACTGAGATGGAAATGTGCACAAAATGATGTAAAAAATAAACAGTTATATTGCTTACTTACAAAAAAAAAACTAAAGCGATTTTATGCTTCAAATAAAAAAAACACGATTTATTAAAAAAAGAAAAAGAAAAGAAACCCAGGACTTTTCCATAGAAAACTTGAACTGAGGTCGGTGGTTACTGAGGAGTGGAAGGAAGCAA